GAACGCGATTTAATGACTCTACTCATTACGTTGCGAAACCTACCGCCTCATGGCCTTACAATCCATCCTTTCCTTTCATCGGAGACTTACACTTTGAAATTTATTGTAATTGACTGAATCATTCGCTCGTATAAATTAAGGTTCCACGGTAAATTTGCTCTCGCGACTTCGGCTGGCGATATTTTCTTCGCTGCCGCTTCGAGTGAATCTTATTTCGAGAAGTTCACACGGCAATGCAATAAACTCGGTAGTCACTCTTTACAAAAAAAAAAAGAAAAATAAAAAAGACCTTTCAGTTACTCGGGCATGATCGATTCGCACTATTGATCTCGGCGGGAACGTACGCTTCCGAATGCGCGCGAAATGCAAGACGCGTTCGCGCGGTAGCTTCCACGTTATCGTTATCAGCTACTCGGCCCGGCCAGCTGCGGTGTAATTCATTTTCCCGGCACACTTCGTCGACATGTGTATCTACATATTCGTGGCTGTGTGTGTGTGTATGTGTGTGCAGCGCATTCGCAACGTTTCTACGATAAGAAATGCGCGCAGAAATTATTTACACGAAACGACACCGCCGCTCGTAGCGTTCCGAAGTTCGTCGCGCGGCCGGTCGCGTAAAAGTTCAGCAACTTCCGCCCGCGTGGATGCATTATTAAGGCCGGCAGCCTTCGAAAACAATCGCAATCGATGACGGTTAACAATGAATAGTGGTAAAAGGCGGCGACGCGGCGGCTTTCTTTTCCTCCTCGTGACTATAAACCGTTCGAACGCCTCTCCTCCGCTCCCCTCTTTATATACACGCATATGGACACGTGCACAGGATTGTTGCTATTATCCGAAAGATTATCGCGTGCGTGCTTGCGTGCGCGCATAACTTTTGACTCGTAATTAAAGCGGCTGTTAACGATTTCCCAAGAGCGCCCGCTCGAGCGCGATACTGCACGTAGCGTGATATTTTCCGAAGCTCGTGGAAAAGAGAAAAGAATTGTTAATCCGCTCGCTACTGGGATCGTTTCCCCCCAAACGGACATATATTTCGATACACCGAAGTAATATAATATATAATAATAAAATAATATATAACGTTAATAATGTAAATTGAATAACGTATATATATTGTCCGCATCGTGACTGATGTACGTTAAAGTTTGTTTCCTCACACGAGCATTTCGTCGGTACATAAAAGAGAGATCATCCGATGCTGAGAAAATTGTGGCGATATTCTGATAAATATTGCTATTTATTTTCTCTTTTATCCGAAAGAGAACGCAATCAGTCCGGAATTCCTTGTAGTAATGGGAAATCAATGATTGATCACCTTGATTAAAATGATGACGTGATGAGTGAATATTTCTTGAATTAATCATATTTTAAACATACCGTGCTCCTGCAACGGCATCACAAAGCATACATGAAATGTTTATATTACATGCTTATGTTATGTATTAAATGTACGCATACTATGTTCAGCGTTTCTGTCAATCTGGGTCGCTTCAAAATTCACTCGACGCGAGACATCGGCCTTTATATACCTGCGCTGATCGGCGGAATGGTCTTACCGATGTGGTATAATTACTCCGAGACAAGAAAAACTTTTGTTAATCTCGCCACGAGTTACGGTTGTTTTCGACGACGACGTATTTTAATGTCGCTCCGACGCAAAAAAAGCAAAACGGTAGACGGATTACCGATTTTACGCATCGTTATCCCGTTTCTGCGAACAGTCGATAAATAGCAGATCAATAACGCGCATACGGCTGGAAAATCCTAATAACCCAGTTACGTTGCTCGTTGACGATGCTTCTGCCGGTTGCTGCGCATATACGATGAACGGGGAATTTTCGCGATGATGTAATATTCTGCAATAACGCCCCGGCGTAAGGGTTGTTTAAGGTCGGAGGAATTTTCATTCATTTACGAGGAATTCGACGGCCGAGTGTCAAAAGGATTGAAGAATACCAACGTCGGTAATAAATATCGTGGTTTTCAAACGGAATTATATGATTTTAAGTTAATTGGTTCTAAATAAAAGAAATAATTAACAATATTAATGCATAAATCCTAATTATAAGTCGGTAAATTATATCGCTATTCGACTTTTTGCGCACCTGTGACTGGATGACGGCTTTGTTTTCATTACAATGTGTACTCTTTCGATATATCAGTGAACTAAATTCGACCGGAAATCGGGACTCGACCCATAAATGGGGCCGTTGCCTACGTCGAGAACCGAGGAAACCTGCGCCTGCGGTGTTTTGCCCACATCATCGCTCTCTCTCGAGAAAGTAATTAATCGCAACCGTCAACCTGCCTCTCATTGGCCGTTCACCTCTTAGCGACGGAACACCCGAGAGCCTTACTTAGCAAATTGTCGTTTTCACAACAATCTCGTCGAAGTCGGTGGGCTCAATATTTAACGAGATCGGCTTCACGGAGAAGTAAGTTGCTCGGAAATGTCATGGGCATTCCTAGATAGCGGGCGAAGCTCTCCGGGCGATATCGGCCGTACGCTCGCGGATGCAGCTGGAACAGGATGCATCGAGATGCACATGCACTTGCGCCGCGTGAGCGAGAGAGTGAGAAGCGCGGGGTCTTTGGCCGCCTAATGGCGGATGTGCTATGCCGCGTCTTTGACATGGCTTTCCCCCAATTCGCGTCAATTGACGACGACGACGATGACTGCGACGACTATTACGAGTACGCGACGACACGGTGAAGGAGAAGGCATCGGCCATAATTAAAATTAGCACCGCTGCATCCCTCCTCCCCCCGTCGACACTCGAGACACTCGTGCACACATGCACGTTACGCAATGTAACGCATTCGTACGCAACGCGGTGTCGAGCCTTCCACGCTGTTTTCCTTCGGATAAGGACACGGGAGCCTCGATCAGTCGATCTATGATGTCGCTTCGACCGCAGCTCGTCTTCTCTCTCTCTCTTTCTCTTTATTTCCGTTCGCGATTCGTCGCTTCGTGATCCGTTCGCCTCTATTTTATTGTCAGCCCGTTATCGTGACGCAAATGGTAAATGTGTAATCTTCGAATTCAGATAAAACCCTCAAAGGGTTCGCGAAAGAGCATCAGAGGGAGGATCTCGACGTATCTCGCAATTTGTGGGACTCGCGCGTCGAGATATTTCCCGACGGTAACGGGCGTTCCGTTTTATCAAAAATTTAGCGGCATGAAATCGATCCGGCGATGCCACCGACTCTCTCTCTCTTTCTCTCTTTCGCTGCATGCTTTTCCCATCCGCATTACGTAAACGCCCCCTCACATTTCCGCACACGAATCGCTTCTATCTCGCGTTCAGCCTTGGCCTCGTACTTTTGAAGCTTCCACCACCGCCGCCGTCGCCATTTCCATCAGCGTCCCTTTCGCAGACTCAGGAAATCGAGCGGAGAAAAATTCCGGTCACTTTTGCCGATTAAAATTTCTTCCCGATTTCAACGTTGCTCTAATAGAGAACGCCAACTTCTCGTCAGTCTGCCGGGAAGAAGGGGGGGAGGGGGGTCGGCTCGACTAGAGGAAATATTTATCGAAATGCACGCGGCACCTCTCGGTGCAAGGGAAATTCGAACGAGCCGCAACGCCTCGGAAAATATTTTCCTTGGGCCAGCGAGCGAGCGAGCGAGCGAGCACGCACGCACATGTGCGCGACGAACCACTCCCTCGCTCGATGACGAAGAGGACGGAACGTGGAAGCCATCCGTTGTGTTGCCTCCCGGCGTCCCGTTAGGCTAGCTGCGCGTGAAAATCACACGCACGTCCCGCACGCATCCGTTACGCGGCCCTCCCGCGCCATCGCGGCGAAGAAGTCGTCGGCACGCGGTGAGAAATATGATGAATCGAGCCGGTTCGCCAGCTCTCGAATGGGCGCCCCGTCGGAATTCTAATGAACGCGTCGGGATATTGCGTAAGCGTGAGGTTTCGTGGGCATCGATTTTCTCCCCTTCCCTTTCTTTTCTTTTTAATTAGGTTAAAGTAGAAACTGATGAAAGAGTCGATTAAGGATAGAGGAGCTTAGGCGGATGAACGGGGCTTTAACTGTGTGAGAAATGACGATCTGAAAGTAGAAGCGGATCGGCGAATAAAATGTAGCGTCGGTTCTCAGATCGGCGAGCGTCGGCGTCTTCTCGGGGGACACGCATCCTCCTCCTCCTCGATTATAGATCCGGTAGGGTCGCGAAACGAACCACACCCGGGTTCTCGCGCCCCTTCGCACGCACGAGATGACGACGGCCCTCGACCTCGTTAATAGCGCGGCGTGTCGAATTTCGGTCGAGTCGTCCGCGTCGTCGAGAAGCTGCGACGAGGACCTCGTGTCGACCTTGGCGCAGGTTTGTCCCTGAAACTTTCGCAAAAGCAGAATCGATGTCTCTCGCACTGCTTCGCACGTGTAACAACCCACCGTTCATCTGTCACCCGCACGCCACCGGGTGTCCCGAAAGTATCGCACTCACTCCTCCCGTCGGAGGACTCTGTTGTTCTCGCAAACAAGGAGGTGGTGGGATTGACGTTGAGGACGACATCCACCGGAAATTAGACGTAGTTGTGTGTGTGTGTGTGTGTGTGTGTGTAATTTAGACGTGTCGAGGATACGGACACGATAGATTTAGCGAGGGATTTTCCTCGCGTTAGTTCCGAGACCGAAATCTATCGTTCGCGTCTCGAAAGTTTCATCGATCTTTTCTCTGTTTAATCGACTCGATTTAATTTGGTTTCGTTTAATTTCAACGAATGGAAGAAATGTATTTAGTAGCTATATTCAAATTAAACATAGAAAACGTTATTATTCAAAACAGATCTATTTGAGATTCATTTAGATCGAAATTAATTATATTGTTAATTTCACGATTGCCATCGATTTCTTCGTTTTGGAAGTTGCACGAGCGTGCGGACATTTCTCTCTCGATTTCCGCCGCGACGATTCATTCCCACCGATTGATCCCACGCGACCGGCGAACGCTGAAGGACGCGAAAAACGTGCTTGTCGTTGCAGCCGCCGGAGAATGAGCTGCAGAAGGTGGGCGAGCGCGTGCCGAGCGAGCACGAACTCCGTGTGCAGCGGTCGTTGCAGCGGCTGAACGTGCCCGACTGGTACAAGAATTCGCCGGCAGCCCGCGACGGCTTCCGATTGAAGAGACACTCCGACGCGTCGCAGCACGGAGGGTGGCGCGCCCTCGGCTCCAAGACCACCTCCCTGTCGTCCCTCTCGTCGTCTTCCAACCGACAGCCGGCCGCAGGTAAGACGAGGAAAAAATGTTCACCTTTCACCGCGGCGAGAAGATTGAATCTCGCGAGGAAGGAGGAGATTCGGTTTTCGGATCGAAGAAATCGCGGCGAGAACCGGATTCTTGCATGTTGAAAAGAGAAAGATGCCACAACGTTCAAGTAATATTTACTCAATCCAAGTGAAACAGTTACTCCAATGCTCCGTGACAAATATTTACTAGAAATAGAAATATAATCTGCGATTGATATATGATACTGTAGATATATGTAGTCGCGATTATTTGCGACCGTAATTGCACAATGAAATAATTATATTCGGAAAGTGATTTTTTATAGAATCAACGCTACCGTACACAATGTTAATAATAATTATAGCGATAATCATAACTTTGTATTCATATTGCTGCTGCTACTTTCCCGTTGGAACAACAAAATTGACGTTGGAAGTGAATGTATGATTCTATGTGATATTAATTATCATTTTCTCTCTCTCTCTCTCTCTCTCTCCCCTCTCGGTGCACGATCGTACTGATTCCCGTCTCCGTTGTCGCAGGTGCCCTTCTGAGTCCCAGTCCCACGCCCCCCGTCTTCTCGAGATGGAGTACCAGCTTGCTCAACAGCGCCGGCAGTTCGCCCGCGAGTTCGGCCAGGTCGTCCTTCAACCACCGACAGCCCTACTTGGGCTGGCGTTCTCAGGAACGGCTGGCCAACCCGCGCACGCCGGCGGAACGTCTCGCTCAGGGTATACTTCCTCAGCTGCAGGCCGCGAACAAGGTAACCCATCCCTTCACGAGAACCAATCCCGGTTCCGAATTCACCTCTCGCCGCTCGTTTCTTGTGAATGCAAAATTCAGCGTGTACGGCAAGCAAACCTCGGTTTCCCCAACCGAATAGGGACCAGATGAAAACTCGATGACAAGAGGTGGCATCTCCTTGCCTCGTGACCGAGGACACTCGTGTGAACATTCAGCTGCGTTCAAACTCGGCCGAGTCAACCGAGCAGCAATTGACCGAACGGAAACCTCCTACAGGAACGAATCTTTCCGTCGCTGCCTCCGTCGCTACCGAGTTTTCGTCTCGTTCCTCCCTCAGACAAGGAAAAATATCGATACGCAAACACGGAGTTGTTTTTCCCAAAGTGGAAACGATTGACGTCAGCGCGCGCCCGTCGTGCATTCTCTCCCGCGCCGGTGCTCTCAGAATTCCGGCTCGTTTGCGAATCGATATCCGCGCGCGGGGATGCATGCGACGACGCGCTAGCCCGCGGATGTCTCGCATTATCGCGTTGACGCGCTCCCGCGAGGCGGTGTCACGCGGAGATTTCGGTGCTGAGACTTCCCTCCGGTGCCTCGAATCGCGACGCGGCACCGTGCGCGACCGTGCGTGACCCTCTCTCGCGAGACCCCCTTCGCATTCTCTTCCTCCACCTCCGCGCGAGCTCGCGAGTTTTGCGTCTCGCTCTTTGTGCGATTTATTTTTAATTTCCGCGGACGGAGGCGCGCAAGCGCTTCAGCCGCCTCGCTAAAGTTAGAATTTCTGGCATCAGAACGCTCGTCGCGTCGCCTTGTCGTCTCGCGCATCTTCCGCGGCTTCTCTCCTCCGCGGATGAACGCAAACATCTGTCCGTCCGTCTCTCTCGTCGCGGGTCGGCGATTCTTCCCAGCGACCCCCGTCGTACGAGGCCTCCTCTTTTCGCGACTCTCCCCGTTTCTCCGTGACCGCCTCTTCGAAGGGCGCATCCCGAACCTCGTTGTAACCGCCCGCTCGGGATTCCCACTGTCGAGCGTCCGGACTGTTCGGGACTCTATGCTTACTTCGCAGCAACAGCAGCAGCAACATCAGCAGCAGCAGACAACGAATCAGCAGCTGGAGGTGCGGAACTCGATAAAGGAGGTTACCTCGGCTATCGTGCACTACGTGCAGAGCGGCCAGGAGGTCGGCGGCGGCAGACTCTCGCCTCGACCTCGACCTGAGGATTGGGACGACAGGGGCGGAGCGAGGTCGACCAGCCCCCGAGGTGAGCACTAAACCATCCCCCGCCACAAAAAATATTACATCCCACCAACACCACAACCACCATCACCTTTGCTCTCCGCCACGAAGGTAATTTTGAGTTTTTCCTAGTTTTTTAATGTTCTTCTTCTTCTTCTTTTGTCGCCTCTGGTGTATCTTTTACTGCAAGCTACCTCTCTGTCTCCCTCTCCCTCTCTCTCTCTAGATTTATCTTTGTTTTTTCTCTCTCCCCCTGTCTATCTCCGTCTCTCTCTCTCTCTCTCTCTCTCTCTCTCTCTCTCTCTGCATCTCAGCTGGCTCTTCGCATCGCAGAGGTCAAAAACAGGTCGGTCTTTAAAACGTATTTTCTCTGTGTCGATGGTTCCCCCACATCAATGGAGCCTCATTAATCGGCTCTTCACGATAAATTCCTCTGTTTTTTTTTTCTCGTTCCTTCAACGTGTTCAAGAGTGTTGCATCGATCAAAGTATACCTTTCATTACCACATGTACATATATCTTCTCAGACTACGTATCGAGCCCAAAAAGAAATCTTCCACCGAAGCCGCACGATCATTATAACCGCTGTTGTAAATTTCGACGCCACGTCTTCCGGTTCGATCCCGAATTGATCGTTCGCGAAGTGTCGTCCGGGGTTGGGCTCTGTCTTGGATCAGACGCGAGATTTGGGGAAACCGCCGCGAAAGAAGGAAGAAAAAAAAGCGCCTCTGCTCGGGAGGCACGCGCGACCGCAGTTGTTCTCCGATGTGCGCGCGATCACCGCTGCTGAGAGGTGTCGGTACCGTGCAACGTCCGCGGAAAATGGTAACTCGTGCGAATTGTGATTCTCGTCGTCGGCCAGGTTGGCACCATCGCGACCTTCTCTCTCTCTTTTTCTCATTCATCGCAGACAGACAATCCCGATTCTGAGTGCGATTCCGAGTGTATCGCCGAGACGAAGCCGCTATTTCAACGGTCCCGCGGCCGTCGCCACCGAAATAGCTCACCCTGAAACCCGAACCGCCCCTCTCCCCTCGTCCTCCTCACCTTTCGTTCACTCGGCGGCCGAAGCGAAGAACCCGCCGCTCCTATCTCGCCGGTACGCGATCGGGCGATGTGAGAACGCAGATGAACGATGAGTCAAGGTAAAGGAAGCAGATATAAAAAAGAACGGAGGAACACCGGAAACACCTTGGCGCGCGCGCGAGTCGAGAGACTTACGTAAAGTAGTACTTGGCGATTGCGGACTTCCGCCCCGTCGATGGAAATCCGACGGGCTCGATTTCCCGTGGATACACGCCCGCTGTAACCGAATGGGGGAAGGGGGAGGGGGGATCGATGCGATGCCGCTATGACGTGCGATTGTTCGATCACGCTTCCGAGCACAATACTAATGTTGAAGTAACGGTGAAACTAACTCCGCTCTGCTTATTCACTCATCGTGCGATACTCGATCTACTAAAAAAAAAAGCTCTGTCTTTGTTTTTCTTTCCTCCTTCCTTAACGCTTCATTAACGCTACTTTTCGAGGCAGATTATGACGTATGCGTGTGTGTACATTTAATTATATACGTGTGATATTGCGGATATATTGTCTTCAGAGAGACGTGTTGTGTAAAAGTCGCGTTTTATATGTTGCATTAGTCGGTCTACTTGGGATTATATTTTTAGCTTCCTTTGTCATGCCGATAGCATCTCACAACGCCTCTACTTGAGGCGATTATGCGGTCAATAAAAATGGTTAATGCCCGCATCGTCGGAGGCTAATCGTCGGTAGAGCCTTAACGAGGGATTATAAATCCCCGCGCGGTGTTATATAACGCACGATAGAACGTCTATTTCTCTCTCTCTCTCTCTCTCTCTCTCTCTCTATTTTCTCTCGCTTCCACGGTGTCTCGTGCATACGTCACGGTTACTTAATCGGCTTACCCGCCCGCGGTAATTTCGCAAATGCATTGAAACTGCGATGTTTTTGCAACCGCGCAGCAAGAGCGTAGCAACGCGATTGGTTCCTGAGACACGTCTCTCGGAAATGGATCCTTCGATTGTGATCTCTCGATTCTCGCCGACCGTTCACTCGCTGGAGCATCCCAAATTTCGGAAGGGGAGGGAAAACTTCGGATTCCGCCCAAGGAAAGGATCCACGAAAAATATCGCGGGAGGGTTTTACTGTCATTATTATTAATATTATATTGCATCACCATATCGTCATTATTATTATTATTATCATTTGGAATATCTTGGAACACGAGATCGACGGCTCTTAAAAAGACCGACGAGAGGGGGTACCGTTCTCCACGGGGCGGAATTAGGGGAGAAGCGAAAAGAGCTTAGGAAAACCGGTAGAGAATACTCAGAACAGGCAGACGCCTCTCGGAGGGTGGTCGCTCGCGTGACCCCGGCGCTAATCGCTCGCATTTGTGTCGGCACCCCGAAGGGAGCGTGAAGCTGTGCTGGATGGAGAGCTCGTTCGTCGGTACGCGGCCAGTGGACTCGCCGGAGACGCCGATGAGCCTGGCGACCGAGGAGGCCGACTGCTGCGCCGGCTGCAACGCCACCGGCACCGAGTCCTGCAGCTGCCAGGACTCGGCGGCCTCCGGCCTCTATCTGGACCTGACGCCGAGCCGCGACGACCTGCGTCATCATCATCATCATCATCAGGCGTCCTCGGCCGGACCGTCGCCCACCTCGTCCGCTAATTACCACCATCACCAGCAGCAGCAGCATCATCATCATCATCAGCAACGTCACCAGCACCACCGTCAGCAACAACGTCATCACCGCGGTGAGTTGCTGCTCGCCTAGCGGACACGCGAACGATATCTCCGGCGACCCGCGCGCTACTTCCGGTCTACTCTATCTCTCTCTCTCTCTCTCTCTCTCTCTTTCTCTCTTCGCGTTCGCTGAAAGTGCGCGCGCGAGGGCTGACGAAGACGATCCGTCGTGTGCGCGCGAATACATATGTTTATATACATATATTTATAAATACGCCCCTCCCCCCGCTTCGGACTCGGAGAGAGTACGACGAATCTCGCGGTAGGACGTTGAATTGACGACTTGATGTAAATCGACGCGTAAACGACGACCAACGACGAACGCGCAGGTTCAGCGAGATCAGCGGATTTCGCGGAGTCTCTCCGGCGGTTCGAGCGGGGGAATCCGTTCGCAGGAGGAGACACGCGCGTAGAGGACGGTAGTTGTAGCGTATTTAACCTTATGGTAAGAGCATATCTCGATGCGCTTATGATAAGCGGCTGTCGTTAACTGATAAGCGCCTTCCGTCGACCACCGAGGAGGTCCGATTAGAGAGTAATCTTCCGCCGAGTAATTTCCCGAGTGACAGAGAATCGCCCACGAAGCCGTCGCGCTACGCTTCGCCCTACCCTCTCGCGGGGAAACCACCTTCCCCCCGTTCCCCTCTCCGTCTCCCCGTGCTGCCCTTTGCAAGGGCGACATCCGGCGGCGACGCTTTCATCTCGCTCAATGTAGGCACAGAATCCCCGTAGGCGCTTCGTTTAATCCTCTGTGTCTCTCTCTCTTTCTCTCTATTTCTCTCTCTCTCCGATCCGCGGGGGCTCTCCTCTACCATCGTCATCACGACGACGATTACAGCTCTCGTACGGCCGGGGTATAATCGATAATCGTTACCTCCGTGATGCGACGTTTCGTTTTCGTCAGCTCTCTCGTCGCAGGTGCGCCGCGACGAGACCCGGTCGAGCCGGGAAATTCGGCCGGTCGATTTGAGAATTCGCGACGTCGAGCATCGGTACGGCCGATCGCGCGCACATCACCGGCGCTCCCTCCTCGCGCTCGTTCGCTCGAAGGCTCATTCGCGAGCTCGGCGAAACAGCGACCGCGCCTCGATCCGTTCGAGAGAGCTTCCTTGTGCTCGAGAGTGCGACGCCGACTCGAAATCGGCGTTACTATCGGCGCGTCGGACGGAGCCGAAACGGAGATGATCTCGAGACGGTCGACGGCAAACTTCGCCCTGATGCGCTTCCTCGCCTCTCCTTTTCCGCCCGGAAAAGTTCAGCAATCGGAACTCGGAGACGTTCACGGGGTCGACGATGATGTTTCTCTCGCGCGATTCTCCGGGAGAACGGCCGAAAGAGAACGGCAGAAGCACTCTCGAGTCGCGTCTTCCGTCTTTTCCGCGAAAACTCTCAGCAAATGCTCCATTCCACGTTTGCATTCTCTCTTCTCTCGCCGTTTCATCTCTCGCTTCTCTGTTTCTCTCTCCCTCCCTCCGACCCTCCCTCCCTCTCTGTCTCTCTTTCTCTCACGCTCGACGTTTGCGTCGTGCGCGCGCGCGAGAGAGAAAGAAGAGAGAGAAGGAGGGTAGCAGAGAGGGAGAAAGGAAGAGAGCTCGCTGCGAGAATTTTGTAGTATATACTTTTTTTCTTACTTTGTTTACACGCGTCGACGACGCTCCCGCCGCTCCCCCCGCTGGTTAAGAGAACAATCGACAGGCGCTCCCGCTGTATTAATGCGAGGAATCACCCGATAATTAGATTCTAGGTTAATCTATCTCCACCACCACCACGTCCGCTCTTTCTCCCACCCGTCGCCTCCTCACAAATGTCAGTAGCTATCTTGCGTTCGTGTATGTTTATAGTAAAGCCCATAAAAACTTTATGTTGTTACACCTGTAGAGCCTGCGCCACGCAGGTGCGTACGTGTATCGATTAGGACTTATCAAGCGAGTCGCGTACAACTTTCATTATGTGTTGTGCAAACGCGTTGATATTATTATTATTACGATTATTGTCTTTAATTATTATTATTATTATTGATTATTATTATATTTTTCATTGTATTATTACTGTTATTATATTTTAGTTGACTTCAGAGCTCACAGAATCATCTGCGTCTATCTCCGCTCTCTCTCTCTCTCTCTCTCTATCTATCCCTCTCTCTATCCCTCCAAGTGCCTTAATGATCTTTATCTTGTAATTAGGATCAATAATATGCGCAGTGATATTCTTCAGCGGTAAATATCGATCGCACGAATCGTAACAAGGCAAAACAGAAGCGATGATATCGCGATGATTCTGCGTGCCCGGTGCTCTCTCCTATCTTTCTCTCTCTCACTATCTTCTCTCTCTTTCTCTCTCTCTCTCCATTTCGAACGGTTCCGTACTTATTGTCCGGACACGCCGACGATTACTTCTCTGTAGAGCGTAAACACCCTTGGCAAACAATAATAAATTATTGTCATCATCCTTTGTGTTCGCTCCGTTGAAGTTCTCCGTGCGTTCCTTGCGTCTCTTTTTCTCTCTGTCTCTGTCTTTCTAAATCTATCTCTTTCTTTCTCTCTTTCTCTCTCTTTCTCTCTCGATTGTCATTTTTTACTTTTTTTTGTTACATATTTTTCGCTATCTTGTGTGTGTGTGTGTGTTTCGTTTATTGTTAATTGTTACCGATTAATTGCGGCAAGATTTTTTTCATTGTACAGAGAGATATACCGGCACAGGTGAAACTTGTACATATTGTGTTCTTTGTGTATTTTTTTTGGAAGAGAAGCCGAAAATTTATTTATCCATCCATCGTAGCGGCGCTCTCGCGGTGAACGTCTCTTCGTTCACACTCCCGGTCACACGTTGTGCGTGTGTGTGTGTGCGCGTATACCACATTCTGCTTGCGTTCACGGTAAGTGCTGCAGGATCTCGGTCGCTTCGAATCAACTGGGGGGGGG